GGTTGTAGCGATCAGGGCCCCAACTGACCAGGACAGAAGTGGGTTGTGGCGATCAGGGCCCCAACTGACCAGGACTTGCCGTACACTGAAATCCACGCAAAGTTTCAGAACTGGCTTCTTGGGCTCAGAATTTGTGTGAATTGCTATTGATATTGGTTCTTCACGGGCTGCCAAGGGTTTCATTGTGTGTCATGTTTCATGGCGCGTGCCTGAACATACGGATTTGAGAAGCTGAACCGTGCGTCTGAGGTATGGCCATGCTTTTCATCGCCAGTTCGGCAAGTGCGCTAAGAATGAACCCAGCCGGGTGGAATCTTGATGAGTTCTTTTCTTTTTTAGCCCGCCCTTACTTTATTGAGTAATTAGGCGCCTAGTTAATTAAGCAAGGCTGTAAGCAACATGCTCCTAGTTAGCTTCTAGTAACTGGACGCAGGATAGACCACGTTTCTTCAAGGAAGTGCTCGCACTCATGAATTGCTGCTTAGATTTTTAGGGACTCAACTCTCCACTATTGAGTGCTAGTTTGAGGTATTTCTATGCCCACCGCGCCGGGCGAATGGGTCCCTTTGCGCCTCTGGTGATGTTTGGCGTTGGCTTCAAGATCATCACCATGTGCCAATTCGGATGGTGGTTATGTGAGGAGTTCGCTCAGCTCAGCTGATTTTTTACAGAATAAAATCACTGTAGCCCCATTGGATGTGTTATGTTTCCCAAATTCTCAAGTTCGCTTAATCGCACAGGTACTACGGTACTCTCAGGGATACCAATGCAGCAACCGAGGCAGCCTTAGCCTGCGGCCTCAGCGATATTGTGGTAGCCCATGCAAAACCCCAATCGATACATATGAAATAGCATTTGATTTCAAGAGCTATGCTGAGGACACCTCGGCACTCGGAATTCTGTTAAATGCCGGTTGAATCAATCACACCGTATCCACCGCGCTGCTACTCCAGATGGTCGACTGGGCTCGACCTGAACCATGTGCCTTGTGTTTGGCGGATTGTCCCAAGGCCTATGGCCAGTCCGGCTACAAGACGAACCCTGTGCCCAAATGAGATCTGAAGCGCTGACTGAATCAAGTGAAGTAGGCAAGCCATCGGTGAGAACCACGGAACGATTGAAACAGTTGAATCCAGGCAGAAAGTGTGTGGTTTTGGCGTTTCTTCAAGTTGACAGATGTTCACAGAATGCAAATGCAAATAGCAAAAACCTCAAGAACCCAAGACGTTGGAAATCGCTTTTTTCTCCTGGCACAAGGTGTCCAGGTTATGAAAGGTGACGTCGGTTTTGGAGCCAAAAGGGAGCCACTACTTTCTGTATTCGTAGTTTAGTGGTGGGGTCGTGAGGAGCTTTTCCCGATCTAAGCCGAGCCTGATCTTTGTGACTCAAGATGGAAGGGTCAGAATGCCAGCTTCTGTGGAGGAGACTCAAGGGTTGCGGAAAGAAAACGACAACACCATGTTAAGGACCTCAAAAAAGTTGTGTAGAAACATCATTGCGTTCAAAGGACATTGAAAGGCCGCACCAAGACCATATGTTCACGTTGTTCTGCTATGTTTCTGTGGGTTTCGTGTCGGGTTTGCTGCGCATCGCCGCATCCTGTGAACACACTTGCCTTTGGATCATCCTGAGAGCCCGTGCCTTTGGTCTCTCAAGTGTTCCTAGTAGTAGTGTGTTCCTAGTAGCTTCTTGTTCCTAGTAGTACGGCTAGGAGCCCCTGGTAGCGTCCTTGCTCCTAGTAGCGATGCCAGAAGCCCCTAGTAGCTTCTTGAAGTGTCCAGTTTACGTACACTGCTACCTTTCTGCAGTGCCTACAGTGCCTACAGTTGTGCCTTTCTGCAGTTTGCTTCATGTTGTTTTCCTGCTGCCATATGTCACTCCTGTGTCAAAGCTTCGGCGGTGTCCCAAAGTACTTCCGTGGGCCCCCTGGATGTGCCGACACAGAGAGTAGATGCAGAAAAGCTAGCTTCGACAAGCCCAAGTAAATCATAGCACATAAACGAGACGGCCTGCAGCCGCTGGATGCTGAGGTGCTTCAATTCATTCCTCCAATCCCTTATTGAACCAAGAACTGACCTCGCTGGCATAGTCCGGGGCGGTCAATGCTTGCGAGGGCCAACTCTTCTTGTTTCAGAAGCGTGCCATTTCAAAAGGTACACAGAGTAATTAGGGTCGCACATCATGCGGAGATGCACTCCCGTTTGAAGTCGCACATTTGATTTGACACATGGAAGATGCTGTTCTTAATTCTCCAGCTGTTGCTCCCAGACTCCTCCGAGGCACCATTGCCGCTGCTTTTTAGCTCCAAACACGTAACTGGGGCCCGGCACAAAAGAAACAACAAAATGTGGTGGGCTGAGACTATATTTCAAGGTCGATGAGAGCTCTCCTGCACTGGAATGAGGTCTGCCGGGATGTTTCCTACGCCAGGTCCTGGCATTCATGGTGGACCGCCCAGGACGGTCATACAGTCATACATATATATATATACATATTACGTTCGTACTCAGTGGAAACGGAGATTTTGTGCGTAGGACTGGCCTTGTGATGTGGCAGGCCTTTTGTTGCATCCCTTTTTTTGCCGATCGCACTCCTTCCGGCCCTCAGCGTCTTACAGCGTGTGCAAGTTTTGCACACCTTTGAGATATGGGATATGTTGGATCATCTCGGCTTGAAGGATTCCAAAAACTCTTCTTGTGTTGGGGGTTGCCCGCAGTCAGGCTCCAGTCAGGCTCCTGAGACTTTATCTTGTAGCCCGCTCACCCCCGTGCCTACATGATTAAGCAGGCGCCAATTTAATTAAGTAAGGGACTAGTAAGCTACTAGGTACAGGACGCTCCTAGGTAGGACGCAGGATAGCTCACGCTAATGATTTGGTTTCTAGAATTTTAGGGATACTTAAGTTTGTTGTGGAGTTGTGGTTCGTAGTTCACTGCTCTTTGCTTCTGCCAGCCGCAACCTGGCGTGCGCCTGGTGAAGATGAACCTGCAGGGTGAGCAGGACAGGGCTCCAAGTTTGAATCGGGTCAGGGCACACGTGTGGAGGTTAAGAGCAAACATTAGCCAACAAATACATTGTCTCTTACATGTTATTTCACGATTTGTCGAATAAACACGTTGAACAACTCCAAGGCGCCTTATGCCACTGGCGGCAGCAGCAGCTTGTGCGCACTGGAGGACCACCAGGTTCTTGTTGCCATCCATACCCATTTCAAGAGTACAATACACGAGCTGGATATGAAGGAGATCTCACAGATGAGAGCGAAAAACAGCTTGTGTATGGCGGGTAGGGAGCGCGTCAGAGTATGGGAATCGATGGGAATCTTATGCTTGCTACAGGCATTCACTTCATGTGGTTGAACATGAAGGTGGAAAGGAATGACATGTGCTGATCCGCAAAGACTCTTTTGTCTCAATAAGGTGCGCACTTTGCGTTGCAGAGTACAATCATCACCATAGAATCCGTTTGTTGGGCAGATAGAAGTGTTGGTTTGATACATGCTTGGGTTCAATTTGCGTTAACAAAGTTCGCAATATGAGTTGCAGGAATCGGTAAGAAATTGTTGAATAGAGTGTGCGAAAAATCAAGATATTCAAGAAATATGGAGAAGAATGGAACCAATCATGGGCACTCAAAGTCTTTGATTGCAGTGCGCGCAAGGATACAAAGGCGGCGATTACAAAGGCTCCCACAACCACAGGGCTGAAATTGAATGTTTACCGCAAGAACATTTCATCCAAACAGGTGTCAAGACTTGCAATTGATTTGTTTGGCTTGGCCTGGCTACTCCTACATGCATGACATGTTTGTCAGGCTGAGATGGAGATTTCAAGGCAATCGCCATGCCAGGTTCTTGCAGGGTTCTGGCACTCAGATTTGCCGGTTCATCTTGTTCTTTGCCTGAAATATCTTAGTCTCAACGACCGTTCTCTGCGGGTCCCCTTTGCGCTATGAACGTCTGCCATCCATGCCACGATGCGACTAGAAGCACCGAAAACTTCAAGTTTCCGCTTCAGGCCGAAGAGTAGGACCGAAGGGAATCATTGCGTAGCGTACTGTTTGCGAAATCGAAATTGCTCCTAATAGCGTCCTTGCTCCTAGTAGCGATGCCAGGAGCCCCTAGTAGCGTC